TTTTGCATTCTAATTTATGTCACTAGTCATAAATCACTAGCCACAGGTCAATGTCACTTATCACAAGTCACTTGGTCAATATATATGGTCACATGTCTCTGATTTATATTTTCATATTTTACATTCTGATTTATGTCATCGATAATGTGCATTGCTAACATGTCACTATTCACTGGTCACATTTTACATTCTGATTTAAGGCCACGTGTCAATATTCACAGGGCACATGTTAATGTGCACTATTCACTGTTTATGTTCACGTTTTGAATTTTGAATTATTTTATGGGTCAATGTTTACTGGTCATGGGTCATAGATCACTGGTCACTGGTAAGTGCAATGATCACATGTCGCTGATTTATGTTTTTACATTTTATATTCTAATTTATGTGACAAGTTAATGTGCACTACTAACATGTCATTGTTCATTGGTCACAATTCACTGGTTTATCTTTACATTTTGTCATCTGAATTATGTCATAGGTCAATGTGCAAAAGGCCCTGGTTACTAGTCAATGTATAATGGTCATAGGTCACTGTTCTTGTTCATATTTCACATTCTGATTTATGTCACAGGTCATAGTACAATTTGTGCTGATCACAGGTCAATGTGCACTGATCACAGGTCATAGGTTTTATTGATAACAAATCACTAAACACAGTCACGACTCTTATTCCTTGTCGATATAAGGCACACTTTGTAGGTATAACTTGTACATATCAGAGCAAACATTTTGTTTTAATAACAAGTGCTAAGACACGTTCATGTATCACATATTTCATGAAAAATAGGTCACAACTATGAACCAATGAGGTCACATATATGTAAATTATATTACCAGCACTAATACAAAATGAAATTCATAAACTACCACTTTTTATACCTGTATTTCAACCATCAATTGATCCCAGATTTTCTCCAACAAGCTTCCATCATGCCCTTTTTTTTTGTTTTTGAGAATCAACAATTGCATTCATGAGAGAATCAACGATTACAGAAAACTGCCAAGCCAAATAGCTTGAGAGATAAAGTCTGGAAATCCCTCCCACCACATCAGAATGGATTCTACGTCCCACGCATGTCTAGCTAGTTCACGAGCTCCCCCATTCCCTATTCTACTTACATGACATATTGTTACATCTATAAAGGAAAACAAAATGTGTCTAATATCAGCAATGATTGATCCCCAAGGAGACAAGGCAATAGATTCGGCGTCATTGAGCTGTGAAACAATTAAGAGGCAATCTAATTCAAAGACTAAATGAGAGATTCCCATCGGCACCCCCAAAAAATGAATTAACAGATACCGGGCCCACTCTTGCCACGCCAAGCAATGATCCGGAGCATTTCTACCGGAACTGAAGCGGTAATATGTTTGAATGGAACGCGAGAGGTGCCTTCCAGCAAGAGACACAACTGTTCAACTCCGGTGATTTGATTTCAACGGCTCTTGGGCTATCTACAAGAGCTCGATCGTTTTCCCTAAAATGAGTATCTGTTTTGTCATGGAATATGTGGAGGATAGATAAAAAAGGGAATCTCTTGTAATATATTGTGATTTTAATATCGATTGTATTATTTAAAATCCAGTTGAGCAAAGTGGGTGAATCCCCCTCCTTCTATACAAAGGAAGACTAATTATACTGTTCTAACTGACGTGGTGATTGTTGAATCAGATCAACGTGGCAACGTCTTCTAGACTGAAGCTTCACATCACATCCATTCATTACATTTAATGTTTGATAAAAGGTCAGCCGCACTAGAAGTATGCTGACAATACCATTAAAAGAGTTACTGACACTTTACTGTGGACGTCCCATCAATCATTTTTAAGAGATCTTCAAATCTGTTTAGGCGACGTTAGCTTATGGGTTTCGGACGACCCTGTGATAACCTCTGATTGGATTGTGCTTCGCCTTTGAGGAAGTGCTTCAATCCGATGCTTGTTATGGAAGGACCTCGGCCCATTTCTCCCTTGAACTTCTGACTTGTTGGCCTTTCTCTTGACTCCTCGTCGGCCGTACTGCCACGTGGCAAGCCACGTTGCCCAACTTCTTTATACCCCGAAACTAGGGGATAACAGACATAACAAGCTGAAGCCCTCGAAGTACTGCAAGAAACTCTATCATTTCTGGATCAGCCACTTCCCATTCTCCTTTTGAGGCAGGCATTAACACATTCCCTGCTTGGTCCCTTAAAACAACACCAATCCCCACGTCTGTGACCTCAGTAATACACCAATTTTAATGGAGCCAAATTTCGTCGGTGGGGATTGAGAAATTTGACACCAAGGAGTTTTCACAGTGGGTTGAAATTGAGAGACTATTTGATTTGAAAGATGTCGTAACTGAATGTTTGGTTTTAAGAGAGAGTATATTTACATATATATTTTACAATGTTTAAAACTGATTTTTAAACATTGAAATTGTATATAGTAACTACCTTAGATATGTATTGTTCCCTTAATAAAAGACCCAAAAATGTAATGGGCCGATTTAACACACTAATGACCATTCTTAGGGCCCATACTGAATTCAGATACCAGGATTAATTCTAATTGTAATGAATTAACAATAATTCAACTCAATTAAAATTTAATATTCTTTTATTTAGATTTTCTCTTTGTTTAGCAATTACATTCATCCTTTTTTTCATTGGAGTAAATAGGCAAGAGTGTCATCTTGTAATGATTGAATTGGTAAATTTCGTGGCACGCCAATTTATTCTATTAATTTTCATTTTCATTATAAGGTAAAGTTGTCTTGAAAGCATAGTAGATGGTCTTAGACATGGTATTCAAACATCTTAAAAGAATATTGATTTTGACTTAGGTTTATATTAGTTACCTACTCGTAGTAGAAAATTTTAATCATTGAGTGTGACCAATTAAAAATTGAGAATGACCATAGAGAATATTTAGTGGTTAGATTTTGTCTTGCTAGCGATACAAAATTATGGGATGTCTTAAGATTCAATTATGGCGGTATATTTTATAGCATTAGTTTTTCTTTGACTAAAGCCTATGAGTCTTGCGTTCATTAGACTATTATGGTAATGCTCAAGTCATAAACAAGACCCTATTTTATTTTGATAAAAATCAAATTTTTAGTAAATTTCGATAAAAGTTGATGAAATATATAATTAAAAATCGATAAAAATTATAAATCTCAACTATATATTGAAAATGAATTTATAAAAAAAAAAAATTAAAAAATGAGGGTTCAACGGAGTAGAAGTCAAAGAATCAAATCCAGTCTTCAGAAACCACAACCAAGAGTAAAAAAACTTAAAAGAATAAATAAATAAATAAGTTTTATCTTCCATCAACAATTTAAATGTTTTAGAGGGTGTTTGATGCACATTATTGAGGGAATAATATATTTTAAATAGTGATGTAATGCAAAATATGCTGTTACAAAATTTTGAATGTGAAGAAAAATATTATTTTATTGAAAAAATGTGTTATTGAAAATGAATTTTGAAAGAATGTAGATCAAACAGGAGCTTAATAAGTTTAACTAAACACTATTTTAAATAAACAAATATCGACCTTCAAAAATAAAAATGTATCATTATTTTAAATCATAGTCACTTATTTATGAAAATTCGTCTATCATGACAAAGTGTAATGGGACAAATAAGTTTTCCTATAAATATGTTAGTATTTATTATGAAATAATCGATTAATGGAAAACTGATGACATCAAAGCCTAATTTAAGGATTGGTATGACCAACTGCTTAAACTTAGCAATTATTTTTTAGTTTGATGGATTGTTCGACTTGGTTCGAGTTTGATACTAGCATTAGAAATAGTACAGCTGGTTCTACCTATATAATTCCATTTAGGAATCGGTTCGGTTCCTTTACAACTAAACATGCTCGTTATCCAAAAAATAGGTGCCACGAGCGACTTAAGAGGTCCAAATATCCAAAAGAATAACTTGTTCTCTTTATGCACACACACAGTCGAACTGAGGATAAGAAGAAAATAATAAGGGTCTGTTCTCTTTGCTGTTTTCAAATCATTTTCAGTTTTCAATTTTCGAAAACATTGAAAACACGTTTACTTACATATTTTTAGAAAAGAATTTCCAAAAACGAGTTTAAAATTTACAAAAAAAACAGAAAACGACAAAAAATTCGTTTTGACTGTTTTCAGTTAAAACCCAGCCAAAATTTCATTTTTTTATTTTTCAAAATAATTTTTCAAAATGATAAAAAGAACGCGTTTTCAGTAATCTCGAAATTGACACTCAAAACACAAAATTCAAAACTTAAAACTATAAAATGCGAAAAGAACATCCCCTAACTTTTTTCGAATATTTCTTATTGTAACATAACCTAGACTCCTAGTTAAGCAACAAAGTCGTTTGCATTTCCGTTGGCACCACGTAGACAAGGACAGGGAATTCAATCCTATCTTGGACAGGACAGCCAAAATATGCAATAGCCCTGGTCAACAACTTCATATGTGAAAAGGCACGTGTATGTCTGGTAATATTCACTTATAAGTAGGTTAAGTTATATTTTTATCTAAGAAATTTTTAAGACACAATTTTTACATATTTTTATTCATTTTTTATTCAAATATTTCGAAAATCCATGACTTATATTCTAATAATATATTTGCCAAACATGCTTCAAATATCGGAGGAAATAAATATAAACTATTTTGCAATGAATTGTTATTGAGCATGAGTGGATCGAGACTGGCATATATTTTAAATGAAAACGTCAATTTATTGGAGAGTTGTTAGGACATAGAATTAATTAAATGAAATCGCATCTCGATGCTCATGTGAAATAATCTTTTTTTCTACCCACCTGCTCATCCCCACCTGCAACCAGCAGCCTAGCTCGCACCCTAACATGCAATTAACTCAATAAAATATTGCTTTCTCCAAGTGCTGCTTCTTACAATGAAATGATTCCATCCAATATATAGGTCCATTTACATTGCCATTTGCAACTATATCTTTGATCTTTCTCTGTAGCGTGTGATGGCTCAGACAACTCCGAACCATACGCTGACTGTTTCGGGGTGGGCTGCTCACGACCCCTCTGGCAACATCACACCTTACACCTTCAAACGCAGGTATATCTATAGATTATATATACACATGTATATACAGGAAATATGTGTATATGGTTTTAAGTTGATAGTATTTGCTGAATCTAAGTTTCTGCAATACGCAGAGAAAATGGGGTGAACGATGTAACCATAGAAATCCTGTACTGTGGGATATGCCACACTGATCTCCACCAAGCCAGGAACGATTGGGGTTCCACCATGTACCCTATTGTACCCGGGTAATCCACCAATTAATTGCATTGCATGCATATGGATTATTCTTAATTAAAGAGTCTTTATTTTCTGAAAAATGGATTCTGATTGGAGAAAATTTTGGCCAATTTGAAACCCAAAAATGTTCTTTCGGTGATTGACTGATTAATGAAGATAAACTTGTGCAATACAAACTCAAAAAGATAGAAAAATTAGTGCAGGCAAGACTGCCAGTTGAAGTTGGTATTAAAGAAGGCTACTGTGAGGGGGTGTGAAATAAGGATGCTGTTGTTGGTTCTTAGCCAATATTTTGTAATGATCAAAGGGAAAGATAGCATACTTCTAAAATTTTTAGCTCATGTTTGTTTGGTGTAGCTTATAAGTCGATAAAAAATTTAAGTCAAAGTCAACAATTAATTTTAACCATACGAGGAGGCTGCCCATAAGCTCAACAGGCTCACGAGGAGCTACTGACACTACTTTGAAGAAGATAAGACCATTTTCGAGATATTGAAAAAGAAGGCCATTCTATATATTACAAAACAGTCTACTTTTCATTTTCTCTCTCCATTTTGATCCTTGAGAAGTTTCATCTTAGTTATATTGATTAGTTTATTCCCGATTCAAAGTCCTAATAACTTGTTAGTATATTACATTGAACATGATCGTACAAGATAATTGTCAAGTGTAATATGCTTTTTTCTACTTCTACGTTGTAATATTAACGAATCTTTTCTTATAATATATTGCAGCCATGAAATTACAGGGATTATAACGAAGGTGGGAAGCAATGTGTCCAATTTCAAGGTAGGCGATAGGGCAGGAGTAGGGTGCTTGGCAGCATCATGCTTGAACTGTGAATACTGCAAAGATGGACAAGAAAATTACTGCAACCACCTTCAGTTTACGTACAATGGCATTTTTTGGGATGGTAGCATCACTTATGGAGGCTACTCCAAGTTTCTTGTAGCAGATCATAGGTATCATATCTAGTGAAATAATGCAGAAGCTGCAGGACTCTTGTGTTTTAACCTTTAGTTATACTAGCTTTATTTTTACATTTTAATTGTATTACATTATCTGTGATGAAGATTTGTGGTACGCATACCGGAAAACTTGCCGATGGATGCAGCAGCTCCCCTATTGTGTGCTGGAATTACTGTGTTTAATCCCCTAAAAGATGGCAACTTGTTGGAGTCGCAGGGTAAAAGAATCGGGATAGTAGGTCTTGGAGGTCTAGGCCATGTTGCTGTAAAATTTGCCAAGGCATTTGGTCACCATGTAACTGTTATTAGCACATCTCCATCCAAAGAGAAGGAAGCTAAAGAGAGATTGGGTGCTGATGATTTCATAATAAGTACCAATCCTGAACAAATGCAGGTTTGAGATCTCGCCATATATTGTTTACGATCCTATTTCTCAAGTTATGAATAACTATAAAAGGAAAGAATCTATACGGAAAATCTGAAACATGTCTTCGTAATACGATGTCATAAAAACATGCACAATGACACTTCTTTTAAATGATTAGGTTCTAATTTTTGCACATTTTTTGCAGTCTAAGAGTAGGACTCTCGACTTTATTTTGGATACAGTGTCAGCCGAGCACTCTCTTGGACCGACCTTAGAGTTGTTGAAAGTAAATGGCACTTTAGCGATAGTAGGTGCACCAGAAAAGCCCCTGGAACTTCCATCTTTCCCTCTGATATTTGGTAAGGCTCTGAATATCTTTAAGATTTGTTTTTGTAGTATTATTTCATCAGTAAAAGGCAAAAGATTGAAGCATATGGCTCAATCAAATCTCTTGATTGGGATCCAAGAGCAAGTTAAACAAACAAAATTCAACTTATTTTTTTTCATAAATTTGACAGGGAAGAGAGCTGTGAAGGGGAGCATCATAGGAGGAATAAAAGAGACGCAAGAGATGTTGGACACGTGTGGGAAACACAACATAACATGTGAGATTGAGGTTGTCAAGCCAAATCAAATCAATGAAGCCTTTGAGCGACTCGCTAAAAATGATGTTAAATACCGATTTGTCATTGACATTGCCGGGAAATCTTCAAATCTTTAGAGGTTTTCAACTGTGTTGCTTATTCAGTACAGACATCAATGTTTAGCTTCATGTTTACCCTTTTCTTGCTTTTGTTGTTATCTCCAAATTTGTTCTCTGTTTTAAACATTGACATGTAATAGGTTATTGTCTGGATTGATTTCAATTGCTATCAAGTTTAATTAAGAATCTTGGAAATAGTTAAAGCACTTAGATATTCCAAGAAACAAGCAAAAAGCTAAATTGTGTAACCAATTTTTTTGAAAAATCACGTGAAAAGTGTCGATTTCTTTCCATAAATTACTTACAACTTTCATACTTTTAATGATCCTCCTTGCAATTTTTTTATTTTATACTTTTACTAACCAAGTAATAAATGATAAAATTATTATTAAATTTAGAGACTAATTAAATATGTGAAACAAATACTTTAATGACCTTTATTAAATATTGTTCACACTTCAGTGACTATCAAAATTAACTCGAGGGAAAATTAACCTAAGACCTTCTAGCCTATGGGTCTTGTAGCAACTTGGGCCCAACAAATTTTGTTGAAAAATGTTTGCTAACTTTTAGGAAAATTTGTTTAGTCTTTCGGTTGAAAAAAATAAAAGGAGTACGAAAGGAAGCAAACTCCGCATTGAATAAATGAGGTGCACTAGGTTGACCTAAGGGTGCCCAAATAAACATGAAAAAGAAAAAAAAAATTGAATATTTATAGAATTTCAAGTTTCAATGCTCCACTATTTAAATTGTCCAAATAATATTTAAATTATTCTTATTATGTTGAATATTTATCAATTGACATTTGAAAATATCATAAAAATTGGAAGTTAGGGAGAAAAAATATATGATCGTTGAAAAAAAATAAAATAGAGAGCAAAAAGTAAGGGGCTGTTAGTTTTGTGTTTTGAATTCATTTTGAGTTTTGTATTTTGAGTGTTCATTTTGAGATTGTTGAAAATTTGTTCTTTTTGACATTTTAAAAAATTGTTTTGAAAACACAAAAAACGCGTTTTGAAAAATTTTAACTTGATTATAATTGAAAACACCCATTTATTTGTAAATTTTTAACTTGTTTACAAAAATGCGTTTTTGAAAATAGGGAAGAAAACGGGTTTTCACTGTTTTAGAAAATCGAAAACAAAAAACGACTTGAAAATGGTAAAGAGAACAGAACCTAAAGAATTTGTTTAAGTGTATTGAGATAAAACTCTTCAAAATTTGAAGAACTCTCTATTATAATCAAGGTGTATCTGTAAAAATAAAAAGTCTTTTTGAGATACTCTAGTATTTATTTGAGCCCATTCTATAAAAAATCATTTTTTTTCAAACTCATTTTTCGTAAAGTCAAAATTTTTCCTACTTTTCAATCACACGTCCTAAAAAATTACTATTACAAAATTTATTCTCTAAAAAAAATGTGATGCAAACAAGCCTTAAATTAAGATGGTTTTACAACATTAATATTGGCATGAGAAACAATCAATAAATGAGATTAACAATAGAAAAACACGATTATTGTCAAATTTCTAGTTGATCTCGTGACACAAAAAAGGTGAAAATAAAAACAAAAATAAAATCATGCATGATATAAACAAACGTATCCTATAAGAAAGAACAATAATTCCTGTAATCTGATATATATATATTGTTCCTTGTATAACTCACAAAACCGTGTGGCTAAATAACTACTATTGCTTTTTCTTCGGGACTATTTCCTTTATTGCGTATTCGAGAAATCAAGAAAAGCTCACCTCGAAACTGTCAGAATATACCAAAAACGTTGGAAGTCCTGTATTAATTAATGGCTTGAAACTCTTTCTCCTCCACTAATCACTATTCTTTTCATGCAGCAAAGCTGGTAATAGACTTTTTCCTCAGGTTTACGCGGAAAGAATTTAACGTGCAAGGAACGTTACTGAGTGTGTTCCTTGAAATCACTTGAACTAAGACTGTTATATATGAGCGTTTGGAAGATAAAGTTTCTTCTCATCTATCAACTAATTGATCAAACCCCAGAGAGCTGATTTTACTAAAACTTGAGAGTTTTAATTATCGATGAAAAAACTGTTATGGTGTAATCTCAAGTTGCCCTTCAGCAGGGATGGTAAGTTCGAAATCAACTTCATTTTTGTTTTTGTTATTCTTCTTGAACAAATATTTTATGGGCTTTTAATCTTCTGTTCCTTCGGCTCCAAACAAAGTTATTAATGTTATTTGAATTTCGAAGATCATTAGTAGTTTTATTTTGTGTACTTGAGGTTTAATCAGAAATGGATAATCTATATTCCTGATGTCTAATAGATTAATATCATGATGTGTGTTAACTGGTTTGATCAGGTGAACGTCGAAAAGAACACGTGAATAGCTCGGTGACCAAGTCAAACGTCATTAATGAAGAATACAAAGAAGCCTTCAGGACAAATTCTTACATAGAAATTTGCAAGAAAGTTCAGGGCCAACTGGAAAGAAAAAGTACTGATAATGGACCCTCCTCGTCCCCGTCCCCGTCCTCATTCTTATCCTCGTCATCTTCATCTTCTTCAAGGAATGTCTCTCTCTCCAAGTTTCTACATGAACCTTGTCAAGAAACCCTAGCCCACATGATTGAAAACTCGGAGCTTCATCAACTTCTAGTCAATTACTTTGAGATTAGTTTAGAAGCCTGCAGATTATGTGAATTGCTCCTCAAAAACGTCCACAAAGTACGTGCTAATTATCACGTAATAAAAACCACAATAAAGCAAATGAAGAATGAGGTACCTGATGGTGCAAGTTGGAATACAGACGATAAATGCCTTGCTGTTTATAGAAATCTTGCTTCATTTGTCATGCTTAAGAACCCCTTATCAACAATAACCCCATTACAATTCCACGAATTACACGAAAACCACTCACTTTTTCTTCACAAATTGACATCCGAATGTAGAAAAACGAAGAGGAGAACAAAATTGAGAAAATGCATAAACAAGGTCATGAGATACGTTTTGCTTGGGGCATGTGGCGTATTAGTCATTCCTTTACTGATTCTTGCAATTCACAGCATGACAGGGATAGTGGCTGCACCTGCGGGGTTGTTTGTTCTCAGTTCTTTAAGCTTATTTTTGAAGAAATTAAAAGTAGCCAAAAAGAAGTCAAAGAAAACCCCAAATGAAAGGCTAGGAATGCAGCTTGATATTGCAGCAAGAGGGGTTTATATATCGATCAATGACTTTGATACAATAAGCAGGTTGGTGCAGAGGCTTCACGATGAATTGGAACACGAGAAATTTGTAGCAGATATTTGTGTTAGGAAAGGAAAGAATGAGATTTTGAAGGAAGTTTTAAGAGAATTTCAGATACATGGATCTTCATTTTTGGAGCAATTAGAAGAACTTGAGAAGCAAATATATCTGTGTTTTCTTGACATAAGCAGATCAAGAAGGCTACTTTTTGAAGAAATGATCAAGTGAAATGGCAACTTCATCAGAGATTTCGATTTTTGTTTGTATTTTCTTTCAGTTAAAACTCCAAAATGTTGATGAAAGCAATAAATATCTTTCTAAACAAAATAGAAATATTGTACATATGAATTTGATTCGTGTATTGTAATCAAATTTTCCTGCATCTCTATATCTTCATAATAATTCTATAAGTATATATACATCATTATTGTATGATCATGATCTGTGTTTAAGATCTTGAATTCATATAGATTGTTTACGGGATAAAAATTCAATTTAGTATTCTCACTCGAGAACTAGTTAGACAATTATCAATCTTGAAATTAACTCGTTAAACATATATAGCCAAAATAATTGCACTGTTTAATCTTGTCCAGCAGTGTGTACCGCATGTCATGTTTTTTTTTTTTAAGGTTAGAAAAAATGAGGTACAAGTGGCTAGTGCTATTAAAACATAATTACAGCATAAAAGCAAAAATCACATCAAGAAATTACTTCCAATTCTGAGCAGTTTATAGATCCAAATCTTACAATAATGATACAGTGGGAATTATTTTTTCCATACTACCTCCCAAGCTTCAAAAGTTTATTCCCATTGTCTGCTATCAAATTTTTTAAAATATCTCTAAAACTGCAGACCATTTGAAGTAAATAACGTACGCTTTTGCAAAATCAGAAGCAGTCTTTCCTAAATAATCAGCAAGTCTCTCTCAACTTTTGATATTCTTCAAAGCTGAGCATCAAAGCCTTGGCTTTGAGCCAATCTTGGGGCTTTGGCATGATAATTGCAATGTAGCCTTCTCTATTTGCCTACGCAGAATTAGACAGAACAACCGAGAGAGAATATACAATAAGAACTAGTTTTTGCTGGTAAATACAATAAATTGATTAGAGTTACCAGAAAAAATGGCATGTCATTCAGAATATAACATAGGTCATAAAAGCATTCAAATTAATACAAAACAAGTCAAAAAAATTGCAGACTTCTCAGTTATTGGAAAAACTATTAAACTTATCTTTTAACTTTGAAATATGATGTCTCATAGGTTTACAAGGTCTTTTAACGAAAAAAATTCCAATGACTTGGAAACAAGTACATCATTCTGACAGTGCCATTTCTTGGAGGCATCATTTATAGGATTGTGGGTCCTTACTTCTTTATGCCACGACGCTTTCGAGATAGAACAGCACCACCAATATGTGCTGGTTTTCATAAATTACCAGTTTATGCTTCATAGTTTTTTACTAAACCTAACATTTTAAAAATTCATATCAACTACAAGACCCAGATCATTAAACCAATAATCAAACAAGTATGGATAGGCTAAGAAAATCCCATAAATGAACTTCATTTTTATGAGAAACACTTACTTGTTGGAGGGACCATCCCCACCCCCAACACAAGCCAATGGAAAAGGAAAGGAAGAAAGATAAGGAAAAAAGAAGCAAATTTTAGTTGCTGATTAGTAATAAAAAGTGTCAACTGTATACAGCAGATCTTAAATTTGGTTGGTCTACTGGCTATGAATAAATGCAACACGACAATGTTTATTAACAAGATTATGTTCACATATTGCCACTTCATATATTCATACTTGACTAATTGTTTACTTATTTTTTATTTATTGAACACATGGCAGGAGGTAGTTCATTTCACTCAATCCTGATGTGAGCAGAGACCATTCTATAGAGCAGAACCAACTGCCATATATCCATTCTGAAGCATTAACAGAGACAACATCAATAGTAAAAATTATAGGTAAATTTTGCATAACACATTAAACAATTTACATAACATCAATTTATAGTCTGACAATGGAAATGTTACCAATTAAATATCGAAAAATAATGCAACAGATACCCCATATTTTGATCACAATTTTCTTTCCTTAAAGCTTGTGTGAACATGGAGAAGAAAAAAATATTGATAAAATAACTATTGAAAATATACGCAGAGGATTGAAGCTGGAAAATCAAAGATGACTGGTATTCCTACCGATGAATTAAGCAATTGTGGGTGCTCGATTAACCTTTCGTTGACTTCCAGTAGAGAGCCTTTTACACAGCATCTGTAATAGCCGATGAAACGTTAAGTTGCAAGAAATAAAACTGTCATTCGAAAAGACAACAAGAGGTAAATCTTGACCTCGCTATGTATTGTCATACTTTGAGCATCAATTTTTCATTCACCAGAGCATATTTTTGGGGAAGTAAATACATAATTTCGATGTATTCAGGGAGTATACCAGAAATCAACTTCCATATTCCAAAATGAACAATCGGATCCCATTTAAATTTAGCTCCAAATTCAGCTACCCAACCATTTTTTCCAACATTCACCACATTATTTTAACCATATGGCAAGGATTGATTATGATGGAGTTTTCAGGACCTATAATCATCCAAGAAAGAATTATGCTGCTGATGCCAAAGGTTGCACAACAGCTTGATCTTTTATACAAAGCATTCCAGAAGATATGTGCAGCGCAATCTTGGAAGCGGGACTTGTGGATACAATAGCTATTCTGTGAACTCAAATGGAAAGCCACAATGTTTCTGCTCATAAGCATACTATCCCATCGATTCATTTGATATGTTTAAAGGTTGCAAGCCAAATTTTCAATTGCCTAGTTGCTAGCAAAATGGATGGGAACAGAACTTGGAGTTTATAGAGTTCAAGGAATTAAATAACACTGACTGGCCTTTAACTGATTATGAACTTCAAACTGGATCACGAGTAGATAAGGACACGTGTAAAGAATTCTGCCTCCGCAATTATTTTTTAATAAAGCTATGTGTACACAATTTTTTACACAGTGTTTTACACCTCCCTCATATGGAGGGGGGCCCACACATAATAAAATAATCGTGGGCCNATAATCGGGGGTCCCCCTCCATGTGAGGAAGGTGTAAATCATTGTGTAAAAAAGTGTGTGTACACATAGCACCACTCATTATTTTTTGTTCTACTACTACATACGATGTGAACAACCGTTGGAAGAAAAAGTTACCCCTTTCCAATTTTGGATATTTAGCTATCCTTCTGTTTAGGATATCCATATCTCATTGGAAGCAAAAGGGTACAAATCGTATGTGATATTGCAAGAGGTCCTACATACTTACATGAAGTACGTAGATAATCAATTGTGATGTGAAGCCTCAAAATATACTTCTGGACGAGTTCTTGATGCCTAAAATTTATGACTTTGGATAGGCTAAACTCTTGTTGGCTGAGCAAAGTCGAGCAACATGAACACACATTAGAGGGACAGTGGGTTACTTTGCTCCCGAATGATTTAGAGAAGCATGTACCACTGAAAGTTGATGTTAATAGCTTTGGAGTGATGTTACTTGAGATCATTTTCTGTAAGTCGAGTATTGTATTTTCAGTGGGAAAAGAAGAGGAGGCTTTGATCAATTGGGCCTACGACTGCTACAGTGAATGAAACTAAATAGAATGGTGGAAAATGATGATAAAGCAAGGAATGACATGAAAAGTGTAGAAAGGTTAGTGATTATTGCAATTCGGTGCATTTAAGAGGATCCTTCATTACGGTCCTCCATGAAAAGAATTGCTCAGATGCTTGAGGGAATAGCTGGAGTTCCTGTCCCTCCTTGCCCTTTAGTATTTAGCTCATCCAAAATTGTCAGTATTGATTTCATATATAAAATTGGTAGATTTTATGCTTATCGATTATATATTGTGTAAGACATTCGTCTTCTTAGTGCTTTATGTAGATGATATCCATTTTTTGTTATAGTGATTTTTTTAACTAAATGAGAGTACACCATTCCTGTCTAGAACTTTTTAAATAAAAGATAGGTTTTCTTTGTTTTTAGTATTGAAATACATCGTGAGTAGTCATGAAGATTCAAAGTCCTATGATAATTGTGCGTCCAAATTTAGCATGCATATTGTCATTATTGGATGTAATGAGTTGTTAAAGTGATAAATTGAGTCAAGTATACCAAAAATGTTAGTTCACAAAGATATGCTTGTTTCAATTTTCACACAGAAAATGCAATTACTATAGTTGGAAATATAATTTTTTCTTACATTTTTCTTAATATAACACTACATTAAAGTGTTTAAATAAAAGCCGTTCATATTTGTTGATAACCACGTTAAGTAGGGACATATTAGAAAAACCAAGTTAAAGTGAGCTATCTCTACTCTCAATGTACAAATCTGAATAATGCTATCTCATGCTAGAACACCAAGCTGGATAAGTCCAATTAAAGATAGCATTACTCTACAAATTTTAGAAAACACATCACCTTTTTTCGTTTTCCGGTGACTTTAATTGTACTCCTATCAGTCTTCCCTACATCGAAACTGACTTTGGATATTCCCAATTCATCCTTAAATGCCACATGATATGGAGCCAAACCGATTATGCACAACCTTTAGTCAAAAGAAAGAACAACCATTAGTTGGAAAAATATTTAACTTTCACAATTATTAAACACAAAACAGGACTAAAAATGTATAATCAAATCGACAGCAAGCTTTTATTCACAAAAGACTTATAATACCCGTTGGCATGACGGTGAACATACTGATCATTTCCAGGATATAAAAAATCTGGAAATTTAAAAAAAAAAAAAAACCAAAGCACCTAAAATATAAGAGTTCATATAGGTTTGAAAAAATGAAATTTTAAATTTTTTGCATAACGAAGCAGATATGTATATGAATTTGTACTGAACCTGTAAGAAAGTATGTTGTAAAGTTGGATTCTATTGCAGAGGGAGGAGAGAGGGGTAAATCCTCTACATTGGGCACTAAAAGTCTCTTTAATTCTTCTTCTTCTTCTTCTCCTCCTCCTCCTTGTTTATTTTCAATCATGGGATTTTGTTCAGTACCAGGGTGAAGAGTTTCTTGATCTGGGATTTCAGGATTTTTGTGGGACTTGGTGGTGTTTTGCTCTGTCATTGAAATTGTATTTGCTCCTCCGACTTTGTTTTTGCCGAAAACACAGCCAGAACTAAGGTTTCCCTAAATTAAAAGGTTAAGGCTTGCTGAAAAGTGATTAAAATTGGCCCAAATAATTAGTCTACTCTAGTTGGGACTTGGCCCACGACAAATTGGGTTTAGCCCATTTCTTAATCAGAATGGCATAAAAATGGACTACATAACGATTGTAGGGAAATTATCATAAACCAGGTGTTTAGTTTCACGTTTTAAAAAATAGGTTTTCACTTATTTTTTCACTTTTCAGATTTTTATCATTTTTATCTATCCAAACTCTAAATCTATCCACTATCCATTCTCTCACCTCTCTCCACAACGCCGTTCTCTTCATCCTCCCACTACCACCGCCTGCCGCCTCCTCTTCCTCCCTCCCCTCCTTCCCTGCCGGTTGTTTGCGTGTGGGGGTGTTTCAGCCTACGCGGATGGATGGGCTTCAGTTTTCGACGAGTTCTGTCCAGGCTCAGGTCAATCGGTTGGATTTTATCGCCGGGAATCTTCCGACGTCATTGTCCCCATCCCAGATTCGGTTCTTATAGTCTATCGTTCATGCACACTGCCTGATTCGTGGTTGAGGTTTTTGTTTGGTGTTGGTTTGGAGCAAGTTTGGTTTTTTACTTTTTTAGTCTGTTTTAGAGTCTTGTTTGGCT